CATCAGCCGGGCATGGTAGCACGCACCTGTAATTCCGGCTACTCGGAAGGCTGAGGCGGAAGGATCGCCGGAGCCTAGCAGGTCGAGGCTGCGGTGGCAGGGAGCGGCCACTGCACTCCAGTCTGGGTGACAGAGTGAGACTCCAACTCAAAAAAAAAAAAGAAAATTCATTGTACAGTTGGGATCTTGCTGTGTTGCCTAGGCTATCCTAGAATATCTGGCCTCAACCAGTTCTCCTATTTTGCCTTCCTAAAGTGCTGGGACCACAAACATGAGCCTAACTGCCTGTTTTAAAATTGGTAATCGTGTGTTATTTAGTTGTAGGAGTTCTTTATATATTGTAGATTGCAATGTTTGTCAGATATAGTGGTTACTTTTGGGTTTGGTTTTGTTTTGTTTTTGAGTTGGAGTCTCACTGTCGCCCAGGCTGGAATACAGTGGCACACTCATAGCCACTGCAGCTATGACCTGCTGAGCTCAAGTGATCCTTCTGTCTTACCCTTCTAAGTAGTCAGAACCACAGGCACATGTCACCACGCCTAGCTAATTTTTTGATTTATTGTAGAGATGGAGTCTCCCCAAGTTGCCTAGACTGTTCTTGAACCCTTGGACTCAGGCACTTCTCTTGCCTCAGCCTCCTAAAGTGCTGGGATTACTGGCATGAGCCACCACACCTAGTCTGTTTTTAAAATTTTTTTGTAGAGATGAGGTTCCATGTTGCCTAGGCTGGTCTTGAATTCCTGGCCTCAAGCAGTCTTCCCTCTTTAGCCTCCCAAAGTGCTAGGATTACAGGTGTGAGCCTCCATACCCAGCCAAAAATTTGGGTGGTTTTTTTTTTTTTTTGAGTTGGAGTCTCACTCTGTCACCCAGACTGGAGTATAGTGGCATGCTCCCGGCCAGCGCAGCCTCGACCTGCTGGGCTCTGGCGATCCTTCTGCTTCAGCCTTCCAAGTAGCCGGAATTACAGATACGCACTCCCATCCATGCCCAGCTAATTTTTTGATTTATTGTGGAGATGAGGTCTCACCATGTTGTCCAAGCTGGTCTCGAACCTGCAGGCTTAGGCAATCCTCTCACCTCTGCCTCCCAAAGGGCTGGGATTATAGGCTTGAGTCACCATGCCTGGCCACAAATTTGTTTTTAATGTCAATAAGCAATTTGTTTGTAACATGTCCATGTAACAGAATTCCATGGATCTGTTCAAAAGCTGCATGTATAATGACATTAAATAATCTGTGATATAATTGATGACTGGAAAACTCAAAATACGAAATAAAATTTATAATATGTTACCATTTGTGTGGCTTATTTTTTGTTTGTGTGTTTTTTAATTTGGGAGATATTACTATATCCCTAGATTCTCTGGAAAGATACCAGGGTACTTGGAACACTGATTACTTTTCACAAGAGAAACTAGGACATGATGAGAGAGTGAGAGACTCTTCGTTTTTTATGCTTTTATGTCTTGTGATGTTTTTTGTTTTGTTTTTTGAGTTGGAGTCTCTCTCTGTTGCCCAGGCTGGAGAGCAGTGACATGTTCACAGCCTCGACCTACTGGGCTCAGGTGATCCTTCCACCTCATTCTTCCAAGTAGCTGGAACTACAGACACACACCAACATGACCAGCTAATTTTTTGATTTATTGTGGAGATGAGGTCTTGCTAAGTTGCCCAAGCTGATTTTGAACCTGTAGGCTCAGGCAGTCCTCTCACCTCAGCCTCCCAAAGTGCTGAGATTATAGGTGTGAGCCGCCGTGCCTGAACTCGTGATTTTTTTTTTTTTTTTTACCATCCTTAATACATGTATGTGTTAGGAAATTAAAATTGTAATAATTAATGTGGGAGTGAATAGCTTAAATAGACTCTTGGGAACCAGCAAGAAAGAGGTGACCCAGAGACCACCCATGGGAGAAATAAAGGAAAGCAGTAGGGATAAAAGTGGCCCTCAGAGTATTGTTATAGAATAAGGATTTTAGACTCAGTAGACTTGTCGTTTCTTCCACTAAGATTACTGGGGAAAAAAATGAATGAGTTGATTTAGCCATTTTAATGAGTATTTTGTTGTGGTGAGAGTATATATGTGTTTATATATATGTATTTTCTCACCGATTTTCTTAAGGGCCTTTTCTGAAAGTGTTTGCGAAACGTGCCATCTGGTATTTTTGAAGAAACAGTAGTTCAAAATCTAGAAAAAGAAATTGCAGAGATTTAAAATTTCTGCTGTAGAGCAAGGACTCAGTGCTATTTGTAAGAGTCTGGGTTTTTAATTTGTTTTCTCCCTGATGATGTAACTGATGCTTCAGTGTGCTTTTTTTCTTTCTCGGTTTTCAAGGCTTTGATAAAGTTCAAGAGTTACTTGTATTTTGAGGAGAAAGACTTTGTGGATAAAGCAGAGAAGAGCCTAAAGCAAACTCCCCATAGTGAGGTGAGTTGTGGTCGTAAAAACATCAGAATCGTCAGGTCTTGAAGATGGAAATCATTCGTTAATTATGAAAGTCAGGAAAATGAGGCCTAAAGGGGGATGAAGGAATTTTCTGGTAGCCCACCTAAGCCAGCAGCAGAGCAAGCTCGCTCCTTCCTTACTTTGGGCTTATTCTGTAATTCCACGCTGCTACTATTAGAGGCATAATCGTGTTCTTTCAGGGTCACTCTGTCGAGAAAAGGGTGTACAAAAGAGTAGCCTGATGTGGAAACTACAAGAAACTGAGGAAGCAAGTGAGATATCTCTATTCTTTATCAGAGGGTAGATCACATACAGGAGGAGGAACACTGGTGTAGGAGAGAAGGAGAATCACTAGAAGTGGTGATGGCTCACTCAGTATCCTCTGGAACTTTCCCTGCCTCCCCCTTCCAGGGTTACTGGGAACATGTTTGCCCAAGGTCATAGCACAGTCAGAGAAGGGCTGGCTCATCTGGGCAAGCTAGAGAGCCAGAAATAAAGGCGGAAGGTGGGTGGAGAGGAAGCAAGTTCTGAGCTAGATTTTTTTTTTTTTTTTTTAAATGCTGTAAGGTCAACTGGGACAATAATAAGGAATATAGGAGAAATAAACCAGAGTTTCAGTTGTTTCTACAAAAGAAGTAGTAGAGAGAAACAGTTAACAGACCTAAGGATTATATAGTGAGAACATAGAGGCAGGGAGAAGCTTGCTCCTCCTAGGATGTGAAAGGAGCCTTTTCTGAAGACTGTGTGTATAGGGGATAAGAGAATGTTCAGAATAATCACTGGAGAGAGGATATGAGGATTCAGAGACTGGGACAGAAGATCCTAAGAAAACTTCAGAGTGAAAAAGCAGAAGTGAGCACTGATGCAAGCGGAAGGGATTGACAAGTGAGCAGACTTACACAGGTGCCATCCTGAGGGGTCCTGGAAGGCCAGCTCACTTACGTAAATACATCATAATGGCTAATGGAACACAGACCTGGTGTGTAGCACAGGATATCCGAGAACAAATGAGAAACCTGCCAGAATAGTACATATCAATACGCTCTGAAAAATCCTAAGTATTATGTAAATATAGGATGTTGTTGATATTATACAAGCTATGCACTATTCTTGGGATACATTATTACATCTGGTTGCAGTACTTCTAAAGTGTTTTCTGAGTGAGTTTTTTTGTTCTTTTTTTTAAATTCTGAAGTAAAACATGGTTATTGTTTCAGATAATATTTTATAAAAATGGTGTCAATCAAGGAGTGGCCTACAAAGACATTTTTGAGGGGGTTTACTTCCCAGCCATCTCACTGTACAAGAGCTGCACGGTATGTATCATGTGTTCATCTTTGGAACAGACCGTGAGTGGAGCAGGTGTATGGGTTGAGATGGAAAGGCTATTGATCGAGTTCTAGAGAGGTATCTGAACTGCCTAAGAGTGACATGGTGTGTGTTGTTACTACTACTGTTTGGTCCAAAAACACTTAGGGGCTTTAGGAAGTATTTGCCTGTATAAATAAATATTATGCAGTTAGTGTGCACCCTGCTTTTCCTTTGAATGCTCTGTGCAACAACTGTTATTGTTCAGTAGAAAGGATACACAGAATAGATATGCATAGATCTAGTTGTCATGATAACCTACCATTATTGGCTAGTAACTGTTGCATATAATTTTTTTTTTTTTTTTAGACAGGGTCTCACTCTGTTGCCCAGGATAGAGCACAATGGCATGATCATAGCTTACTGCAGCCTCAAATTTCTGAGCTCAAGCAATCCCCCCACCTCAGACTCCTAAGTAGCTAGAACTACAGATGCATGCTACCATGCCCAACTAATTTTGTATTATTACTATTTTGTAGAGTTGGGTCTTGTTATGTTGCCCTCGCCTCAAATGATACTCCTGCCTCAGCCTCCTTAAGTGCTGGGATTACAGGCTGAGCCACCGAGCCCGGTTTGTAACTACATTTAAAGTGAAAATTTTAGCCGGGCTC